AATTTCCGGGAGAAATATCATAGAAGAAAAAGGTCTTAGAATTGTCAAAATGTTACATAAACATATTAATAACAGCGAGAGAAATAACAGTGTAAGAGTGAACATTCACCAAAGAAAATTATCTTAATATGGTGGGCGAGGCAACATGCAACTTGTCTCTGCAATAAGACTGTTTGGCCCATTAAACTGTATATGTATGTGATTTTTAACTGCATGTGCTTAAAATAGTTACAATAAAAAAGCCTCAAAAAGCCTGACATCGTCCCAGCTAATGTGAGGCCGAGACCCCCACAGTAACTGGGCGAGATCACTGGGCCGAGATCACCGGGCCTAGATCACTGGGCCGAGTTCACCGGGCCTAGATCACTGGGCCAAGTCACCAACAAGGTCTGCCTCCCTGCCGCAAAACATTTACCTTACCTAACAGCTGTTGTTGTTTGCATCAAGGCGGACCGACACTCAGTCAGGGTTTACACCAGGCAATAGTTTTAACTTATATTTATTATTTAAACCATCTAACAATGATATAATTAGTATATACTGTGGTCCCTCGGTTAACGAGATTTCGGTTAACGATTTACCTTCCATAAGATTCTTAACTTCGATTAACGAGTTTTTTACGAGCCGACCTCAACATGTTTTCACTTGCACTGACCGGGCAACCAGCTTTAGTATCAGTCTGCCAATACAGTAATCGGTTTTAGGGCATAAATTCCTTACTATTTTAGTAAATATCAAGAGGTTTATACTATTCAATAATTTTAAAAGTTTAATATTAACTTTTATAGTCATTTTAACAATTATTGAACATAATTGAAGGTAAAGAAACTAGTTTCTGGCGTGCCATCCAGCCTGTTAACACACCAGGCAGGCGTTAGTCTCTCTCTGTTTTCAGTGGAGGTAACATCTTGCTTGAGACTCTCTTCAACTAAACGCTTTTTATCTGTGTTTCCAGGCAAATTATTGGTCATTTTTAAATATATTTTACATATTAACAATATATAATGCAGTGCAGTGTTGATTTAAAGAAAATAATCTTGAAATACACCAAGAGAACTAAAATTTTATGGGTGAAATGGTGCCATGGGGTGACTTCTCTTCCACCCCAATGCCTTCTCTCCTTCCTTCTCCTCCACCCCCATTCTAATTCCCATCATCATCATCATTATCCAGAAGCCTTCTACATACACACCTCAAAGTAAGTGAACTTTTCTACCATTTTTGTTGAATTTAGGAAATTTTCGGTGAGCTGGAACCAATTACCAAAAAACCCATTGAAACAATGGTTTCGGTTAACGAACTTTTTGGTTAACGAACGACCTTCTGGAACGGATTCAGTTCGTTAAACGAGGGGTCACTGTATAATTTGACCCAAATATAATACCCCATTTGTTTGTAAAGTTTCCTGGCTTTTCCATGCAGTCGACACCCCAATAGTCTATATTATTTATAAAACGTATATGAAGGCCTTTTAAAAAATACGGGCAAATCCTAAGTAATCTACTTTAGATATCTAATTGTTTCAAAAAGTCATTAACACAAAAACTAATTTGTGAAACTAGATTTAAAATCAGGTAAAGTAGTACCCTGTACCTTTGTAGGATATTTAAACTATTTTTTTACCACAAGTGCTAAAGACAAAGGTATTAGGTCAGGCATATTTGACAAATATTTTGACGTGAAACTAACTTCATACAGTAAAGATGGTCAACATATTTAAGACCATCCATAAAGGCTTTTTAAAACTTACGGGCACAGCGTAATCTACTTAAAATATCTAATTATTTCAAAGGTCATTAACACAATTACTTGAATTTTTAAACGGTGATCCCAGATCCTTAATAAAAACTAAAACCACAAAGATATACACTGTACTGTACCTTATGTTATAACAGAAAGTTTCCAATGTGGTGCAGCAAGAGACCCGTTAACCAAAACAAACCTTCGTCTTGTGGCCCATATCTTACATCTCCACGTCACCGTCCTAGAATGAATAACATTTTGACAACTAATAAATTAAATACTCTGGGCAGTAATATTATATAATATGTATACAGTACTGTACAGTATTATATTATACAGGAACTCATTAAATCTTCAAACATTTAAATACAATATTATGGTTAAATTAAGACATTTCCATAAAACTTATTAAAGAAAATAATGAAATACTTTAGAAAATCTTACCTCGACGAATGACATGAGGAACTTCATTAACCACGATCAGCGAGGCAGCAATATGGTAGTTGTCTTAACACTACAGCAACAACCAATTGGAGCCGTACACTGTAAACAAAATAACCTTGTTAATCTTTTTGTAGAAACTAAGATAAATTTTTATTCCAACATGTTGGAGACGAAACAACCTTGTAAAGGATTGCCAACACGGTTTTATGCCGGGGCGCTCGTGCTTAACACAATTGCTCAAGGTACTGGATATTTGGACCCATATTCTGGAACAGGTGGTAATATAGACAATATTTACCTAGATTTTGCCAAGGCTTTCGACAGTGTACCCCAAGAAAGGCTAAAAATCAAACTGGAAGGGTACAGAATTAGAGGAAATGTCCTAGCGTGGATAGAAGACTTTCTACATGACCGTGAGCAGTGTGTGGCGATTATTGGCACGAAATCATCATCCGTACCTGTCACAAGCGGGGTACCACAGGGCAGTGTATTGGGCCCGCTGTTGTTTGTTTGTTTCATAATGACATGCCTGACGTTGTACACTCCTCCATACAAATGTTTGCCGATGACGCCGAGTTATTTCGGGAAATCAAGAACCAAGCAGACTGTGAAGAGCTGCAGAAGGACCACAAGTTAACTCTGGTCAACAACTTTCTTAATACCACTTACTAGTCACTAATGGATAACACCTGGTAAATTCACAAGTTATATCCCACTGCCATAAGGGTTTAATTATCTATAAACGCCAATATTGTGAAGCGTCTTGCGATTTTTCCTTTCCCAGAGAATTAAAATACCATCGAAGACATGATTTGGTTAGGTTAGGTTTGAATCCCACCAAATTGTTATTTTCCCCGAGAATTAAAACCTCACCATCGGACACACGATTTGGCTAGGTTAGGATCCCACCAAATACAGTGACAAAAATGTAAATTTCTTGTCAAAAAATAAACTGCAACTTTACAGTAAAGTTCCCAAAATGTCTCAAAAGCTAATATTTTACTACAAACTGTAATTTAACCACAAATAAAAAGTACCACATTCTTATAACCAAATTTTTTTACTTCAATTAAAGAAAAAAATCTTTCCCAAAATAAATATGACCCAAAATCCCACCTTGGTTAATATATAGGACTAACCCGCCATAGTGCCGATGCTGCTGTATCATCTCACGTCCAGAAAATGTCTCAAATATCACCGTATAGTAAGTTTTTTCTGTTTAATATACCGGAGAAGTTAGGTGAGGTAGGTTTGTTTGGTTAGGTCTGTCCTTCATAACCACAAATGTTAAGTAGCGTTTATTTAAAAAACATCCATTTACTAACATTACCACAAACAGTGTCCACTATAATATAACAAAAGTAACTTGACAAAATTATCATAAAATTATCCTAAAAGTAATAAACTACAGAAAAGTAACAATTCCCAAACGTAAAGTGATGTAAACACCACAAGTAACAAAACTTATCAAACGTAAAAGTAACAAACTCCACAAGTAACAAAACTTATCAAATGTAAAAGTAACAAATACTCAACAGGAAAGTAATAAAATACCTCAAACTATCAACCTATTTCCTTAACATTGTTCCATTGACAATTTCCTCCAGTAGTTTACATTAATAAGCAGCAGCAGTTATTGGTCCACTTGCCTTCACCGTCTACCTGTTAATTAATACCTACACCACACTCCTGCACCATAAACACACTATATACCTGCACCGTATACCTACACCACACACCTGCACCATAAACACACTATATACCTGCACCACAAACACACACTATACCTGCACCATATACCTACACCACACACCTGCACCATAAACACACTATATACCTGCACCAATAACACACACTATACCTGCACCATATACCTACACCACACACCTGCACCATAAACTCACTATATACCTGCACCAATAACACACACTATACCTGCACCATATACCTATACCACACACCTGCACCATAAACACACTATATACCTGCACCATATACCTACACCACACACACGCACCATAAACACATAACACCTGCCACAAACACACTATACCACCATATACCTACACCACACACACCACAAACACACACTATACCTGCACCATATACCTACACCACACACCTGCACCATAAACACACTATATACCTGCACCAATAACACACACTATACCTGCACCATATACCTACACCACACACCTGCACCATAAACTCACTATATACCTGCACCAATAACACACACTATACCTGCACCATATACCTATACCACACACCTGCACCATAAACACACTATATACCTGCACCACAAACACACTATACCTGCACCATACCTACACACACACACACACACAAACACACTATATACCTGCATATACCTACACCACACACCTGCACCATACCTATTTGTGTTGAATGGGCCCTGAATTGGTCCCAGATGGACCTAGTTGGTCCCAGATGGGCCTAGTTGGTCCCAGATGGGCCTAGTTGGTCCCAGATGGGCCTAGTTGGTCCCAGATGGGCCTAGTTCAACTAGTGTGACCGACAACCACAGAGATGGCTGGATAGCTTCAACCATAGGTTGGATGTTTATATGAGCAATAGGGGCTGGGTGGACTGCCCAGTATGGCCCGCTGTAGTTTCCTCCATTCTTATGTTCTACTGTACTGTGTCTAGTTAACACGGCCATACATAATGTTAACTTACCACGAGGGAGGGAGGAAGGCCCACAAATTAACATTTACTAACAAAATTAACAACAATAAACAAGACGTCCACCTTGGTTGATGTTGACACGCTACACCTTGTCCGATTCTCTCTCTTATCTTTCAGTAACTACAAGTTTTCATTATTAACACTATAATAAAGTATTTTATTTATACATTTTACATAATATAAATAAATTATACATTACTTAATGTTCTATTATTGACTAAACTCCCGCTAATAGATATAAATTAATATTAAACTAAACTTAAGTCAATGGCTGGAGAACCGAATAACTTGACAACATTTACAAATACACTAAAATAAATTTAAACAATAACATTTATTATTTAACTATTTAAACAATAACATTTATTGTTTATCTATTTTAAGATTATTTATTAATATTTTATTAATATATAACACTATATATAAGCTTACGACACCATAATAAACTCGCTATTTTAACTATTCATAATATTATTAACGGTAACTATTAGTCTAAAACTACACAATTATTCAGCAACAATTATTAAACAACAATTACCTATAATATAAAACGTAAATAATGATCAACTACCAATTATATCATTATCAAGTCCATCTTGAATGATGAGTACCTCTCACTATCATGTCCTGTTGGCTTGAGACACACCTGAGAAGAGTGTTTGAGTACGTCTCACTATCATGTCCTGTTGGCCTGAGACACACCTGAGAAGGGTGTTTGAGTACGTCTCACTATCATGTCCTGTTGGCCTGAGACACACCTGAGAAGGGTGTTTGAGTACCTCTCACTATCATGTCCTGTTGGCCTGAGACACCCAAAGGAGAAGGGTGCTTATACTTCACCATCAAGGGGTCTCTGCTGGCCTGGAGACACACCTGGCAGAAGGGGGTTTGAGTACCTCTGGTTTTATCATGTGTCCTGTTGGGCCTGAGACACACCTGAGGGCTGTTTGAGCCTCTCACTATCATGTCCTGAGACACACCTTGAGAAGGGTTTGAGTACCTCCTACCATCATGTCCTGTTGGCCTGAGAGGCACCCTGAGAAGGTGGGGTTTGAGCACCCCACTATCATGTCCTGTTGGCCTGAGACACACCTTGAGAAGGGTGTTTGAGCATCTTTCATCATCATACGTCCCGGTTGGCCTGAGACACCTGAGAAGGGGACGGAGCACTTCCACTATCATGTCCCATACCAGAGACACACCCATGAGAAGGGTGTTTGAGTACCTCTCACTCATCATGTCCTGCTGGTCTGAGACACACCTGGAGGCTGGCTCTGAGTACCTCCTACCATCATGTCCTGCTGGCCTGAGACACACCTTGAGAAGGGTATTTGAGCACTCTCCTGCACCATCATGTCCTGCTGGCCTGAGATACACCCACATAGAAGGTGTTTGAGTACCTCCTCACTATCATGTCCCATGGCTCTGAGACACCTGAGAAGGGCCGAGGCACCTCTCACTATCATGTCCTGTTGGCCTGAGACACACCTGAGAAGGGTGTCTGAGTACCTCTCACTATCATGTCCTGTTGGCCTGAGTCACACCTGAGAAGGGTGTTTGAGTACCTCTCACTATCATGTCCTGTTGGCCTGAGACACACCTGAGAAGGGTGTTTGAGTACCTCTCACTATCATGTCCTGTTGGCCTGAGACACACCTGAGAAGGGTGTTTGAGTACTTCTCACTATCATGTCCTGTTGGCCTGACACACCTGAGAAGGGTGTTTGAGTACCTCTCACTATCATGTCTTGTTGGCCTGAGTCACACCTGAGAAGGGTGTTTGAGTACCTCTCACTATCATGTCCTGTTGGCCTGAGACACACCTGAGAAGGGTATTTGAGTACCTCTCACTATCATGTCCTGTTGGCCTGAGACACACAAGAGAAGAGTGTTTGAGCACCTCTCACTATCATGTTCTGTTGGCCTGAGACACACAAGAGAAGAGTGTTTGAGCACTTCTCACTATCATATCCTGTTCGCCTGAGACACACCTGAGAAAGGTGTTAGAGTACCTCTCACTATCATGTCCTGTTGGATTCACACACACATGAGAAGGGTTTGAGTACCTCTCACTATAATCTTCTGTTGGCATGAGACACACCTGAGCAGGGCGTTTGAATACCTCTCACTATCATGTCCTGTTGGCCTGAGACACACCTGAGAAGGGTGTTTGAGTACCTCTCACTATCATGTCCTGTTGGCCTGAGACACACCTGAGAAGGGTATTTGAGTACATCTCACTATCATGTCCTGTTGGCCTGAGACACACCTGAGAAGGGTGTTTGAGCACTTTCTACTATCATGTCCTGTTGGCCTGAGACACACTTGAGAAGAGTGTTTGAGTACCTCTCACTATCATGTCCTGTTGGCCTGAGACACACATGAGAAGAGTGTTTGAGTACCTCTCACTATCATGTCCTGTTGGCCTGAGACACACATGAGAAGAGTGTTTGAGTACCTCTCACTATCATGTCCTGTTGGCCTGAGACACACATGAGAAGAGTGTTTGAGTACCTCTCACTATCATGTCCTGTTGGCCTGAGACACACATGAGAAGAGTGTTTGAGTACCTCTCACTATCATGTCCTGTTGGCCTGAGACACAC